TCCACTTGAAATACCAAAAACCCAATGTTTGATACATGATGTTTTAATACATATTATGGGTATAACTATAATGGCATGGTTGTTATGATGAAACGAAATTTCGTAGGAATGAAATGAATTAAGAATAGAATAATTATGAAAATAGAATGAAAATATTTTGTCATTGATACGTTTGGTATGCAGAAGGATTAGGACTGGAATGGAATGACATTATCATTTTTTATTATAAAAATAAATAAAAGTTTTTTTTTGCTTTTTTAATAATATATAAAATAAAATTATATATTTTTAATAATATATTTTGAATAATATATAAAAATAGAATAATATATTGTTTAATAATATAAAAGATAGTATATTATAATAATATATAAAAATAAAATAATATATTTTTAAATTTTATATAAAAAATAATATTTTTAAAAGTAATATATTTTTAATAATATATATTTTATTTTTTAATTAAACAGTAAATAAAAGTAAGTTTTTAATTTTTATTTGAATTTTATTTTTTAAAATAACATATTTTTAATAATATTTAAAAATAAAATAATATATTTTTAATAATATATCTTTTTAATATTTTTAATAATATATATTTTTAATATTTTTCAATAATATATTTTTAAAAGTAATATATTTTTAAATTATATATAAATGATTTTTTTAGTTTTATTTTTATATAAGTATTTAATACTAATTAAAAATTAAATAAAAGTAAGTTTTGAATTTTTTTATTTGATTTATTTTTTTAAAAATAATTTTATTTAATATATTTTAATCATGATTTATAATATATATTATATATTTATTTATTATCATTATTTGTTAATTTTATTTTTTGAAAAAAATTGATTCCTACATACATGACAAAAAATTTACTATGGAATGACTAATCCCATGGAGATTGGTTTTGTCATTCCCATTGAAATTGTCATTCATTCCCAAAAAATATACCAATCATGGGATAAGGAATGAGTAAGGAAATGATCATTCTATTTTCATGTCATTCCTTCCTACCAATCATGCTATAATAGAATTGAATAAGAAGTGATTGTAACATAGAAGAAAATTACATTTGTACTAAAAAAAAATTATATACGTCATTGTTGCAACTCCAATGTCGGGGCAAATCTAAGTCAAAATATACAAAATCTCTACTTTACCTAATTCCACTCTCACTTCATGAATTCTCCAATTTAACTACTAGAGATACCTCCAAATAATATGCATTTCGACACCATCTCAAACATGCACAATGTTGGTCAAATCTAAACAATGTTCTTAAGTGTTAACACTATATTGGTAATCGTAGTGTAATCATATTTATATGATTATCTGTAGTCTCAATCTTTTTTAAACTAATATTTTCATCTTTTAGAATTTTTTGCACAAAGTGATAGTAAACATCATTATGATTCGTTCTTGCACGAAATATTTAATTTTCTTCTAAATAAAATGCGTTTTGGTCATCACAATGCACTATGACGTGCCTCTGACCAACTCTCAAGTCTTCAAATATATTTTGAAGCCAAATTTTCTTCTTCACATCATCGGCAACTGCTATGTACTCCATCTCTATTATAAACAAAGCCGTCGTTAAATATAAAATAGATTTCCAACATACTTGATCAGCTTTTGCAATAGTGAGCAACTATCTCATTATTGATCTTTGTTTATACAAATCACTTGTGCAGTCAAAATCAACAATATTTCACTACATATTGACTAATTGCATCAAGCTCATAAACCAATCCAACATCTACAGTATTTTGAATATACTGTAGAAAATATTTCATAATTTAATAATAATAATAATAATAATAATAAACCTCCACTAAAGTTAGCTGAGTCGGGCAGGCGGGTCCTTCAAGCATTGGTGGGTTGTTGTATCTAAGTTTTGTGATATAGTTAAGACCCGTGTGGTTTTGAAAAGGCGTCCAACTTTTGGGTCCCACTAAGGGGAATGCGCAGCACGAATCCAGTCAAATGATTTTACCCAAAGTCAAAATAGTCAACTGCAATCGCTCCTAAAATATACACATTACAATTTGTTGTACTCTTTCAATAAATTGACCAGCTCGTTCATACGACTAGGCCGTGCAAAACTGCGAATTACTACCTTAAAATATTATATTGTATTTCAAGGTTCGTTTTAGAAAATGTAAAACGGATCAAAGCCAATCGAGTAGGGGTAAACTCTCTATACGGAACCGTTTAACACGAGCGAGTAATTAGGATTTGGTTGATTAATTGATTAGCATGCTTACATGCTTATATTAACATTAAATCATTAATACATATTAATACAACAATTGTTTCTCCACCATGAATAATATGTGGTATATAATAAAGAGTTGAGTGTTCGTAAAAAAAAAATACTTAGAGAACTAATGCAATTAGCTAGAGTTCTTTGGCACTCTGGTTGTTTATTAAATGGACGAGATTNATATATATATATATATATATATATATATATATATATATAAAAGAAATCAATAGAGAGATTGATAAATATTGGACATATCTGGCTTATGAGAATATTACACAAATACATATAATGGAACTATTGTTAATTAGTAATCATTCTATAATATTGCCAAAAATAAACTAATTTCATCTTGAATATTCATTGGCCATATCCAAGGCAACGAGGGACATCCATATACTATATAGATTAAAGAATTTGGTGAGAGAGACGAGACGTTGTTTTAATAACATGGTCCACAATCAAGAGGACCTTAATCATTACATTGTAATCAAATGGACATATAATTAAATAATGTGGCATTGACTCATCCAAAAACTAGCTTATAATTTTGGACTTTCAATATTGTCCACAGCACCCCAGACGAGGCGGGCCCCACACCCTGGATTATCTATATATTTTGATTTTTGTCTTGTTGCAAGAGTGGGAATTTGGGTAATGGGTAGGTTGTGAAATTACCTTTTTGACCCTAACTAAATCTATCGTCAACTGCTCATGACTCTAATCCTACCACAATTGAATTGTTTATTAAAGTTTAGAGTGTTTGGAGAATGTGTTAAGAGTGACATGTTACAGACATTAATTCCACATTTAACAACAGATATCAACTGTTCCACGCTTCACATGTGGATAAGGCATACTCAATTACGTACATAACCTTTTTATAAGTACACGTAGAGCCGTAGAGGTTAATAGGTTATTATCGTTTTTTTTTTTCTTTTTGAAAAACTAATATTTTTCTAATGAGTAGAAGCTACAAGAATAAAATGCAAACCACTAGGAGGAAAAAGAAAATTTTCAATTGAACTTGCGCAATTTTTGTTAGTACATACGATTCAATATTCGATGGAACGCAATATTAAAAAAGGATATCTTTTTATGTTGCGAGTTCTCATATTAGAGAATAGTGTTGAAACATTTTATAATAATAATGATTTTTTCTAGAAGTTAAACGAATGTGAGATTTTTTTGTTGGATTAAACTCAACATCATCATACATTCTTATCTAAATGTTAAATAAAAGTACGGGTAAAAGTAATTAATACA